AAGGGATGCAAAGCTGGGAGCCAAGACTGTGGCTGAGGAGGCCAAACGCGGTGCTCAGAATGTAGCTGAAGAGGCCAAGCTGTGGTTTAAATGTCAGGGTTGAACGCTATGAAATCATGGGAATTGTAGTCCAAAGTCCAAAGCCTTCCCTGGGAAGGATGCTGGGGCCTCACCAAACTACCAACTCCCTTGAGTCCTTAACATTGAGTCAAGCCAGTTCATGTGTTGTCAAACTGCATTCATTCTGCAGTGTCGATGCCCTCAAAGTTAGCAAGGGAATGTGAACTCAGCGAATGTAAGAGTTATAGGTGTGGACACTTTTCCAAGTCTCGCTTTCTGCAGTGCTAAAAAAAAGGTGGTGTGAAGGAAATGTTCATGGGGAGGGCACTGAGTTCTTATTCTGAGGCAACTGCTCCCATTTGCCTCTGCCCATAATGACACACCTGTGGCAGGTTTTGGATTCTATATTGGGTTTCCAAATGGATAGGAAAGGTTGGAACAGACAGCCAGACACCCTGGACATTCCACAGATATATAAACCCCCAGATATATAGTTTCCAACAGACCCCACAACTTCTGAAGATGCCTGCCATAGATATGGGTGAAACTTCAGAAGAGAATGCTTCCAGAACGTGGCCATGCAACTCAGAAAACTCATAGGAACTCAGACAGACAATCCTTTTTAAGTCAGATCAAGGACCCCAAAGTCTAGCTAAATCATTTTGGGTGGCAGACTTATTTGAGGGAGCTAATGTGTTGAGTTTGGGGAAGGGGTGTAGCCACCCTCTTGCTGGGTGCTCTTCAGCCTCCAGAACACAGAGCCATGGAGGGCACTTACATGGCTGAACTTACTATTAATACAGTTCAATATCACTTGAAGCACTACAGCTCATGGGATTTGCAGCTTGGTGAGGCACAAAATGATAGTAAAGATCTTGAAAAACTATACTTCCCAGGATTCCATTGAATCCGGCCATGGCAGTTCAAGCAGTATCAAAAGGCATTGATATGACAGTGTAAGTGCCTTCCACAGCTGTTTTCTGGAGGCTGAAAGGTGGCCAGGAAGAGTGTGGCCCTTTGCATCCAGTCTTCAGCCTTCCCAGTTTCCAAGAGACTGTGGTAAATAAAACATTTCATCAGATGTTGCCTCCGTTTTTAATAATTTGCTGGGCTCTTTGGCAGGGGCTATCTATGGCTGGATCTACACTACCACATAATCCAGATTTATTTATTTATTGTGTAATTGAGAATACAGTTATAATGTATAAAAAAACCCACAAACAAAGTTAGAGGTTTCTCTCATGTCCCACATAATCCAGATTATCAAAGCAGATAATCCAGATTTTCAAAGTGGATAATCCACATTATCTACTCTGAACTGGATTATGAGTCTACACTGCCATACAATCCAATTCAAAGCAGATAATCTGTATTTTATATGGTGGTGTAGAGGGGGCCATTAATTCTGGATCTGAGGATTCTGGGGCCGGATTTACACTGCTCTGTAATGCAGTTTGAAATCCAGTGTACACCCATATAATACAGACTCCTTCTACACCGCCATATAAAATCCCAATTATCTGCTTTGAACGGAATTATATGGCAGTATAGACTCATATAATCCAATTCAAAGCAGAATTATTTATTTATTGTATCAGAAGCAAACCGAGGATATAGTTGTAATGTATTTAAAAAAACACAAAGTTCAAAAAACTTGGCATTATACTAAATGTCCTTTAACCAGAAGCTAGCCACTTGGAGCAACTCTGGTGTTGCTGTAGGAAGGTCCTCTATTGTGCAAGTGGCAGGGCTCAAACTGCATTGTGGTCTGTGGTTTGTTCTTCTGCACACTTGCATGTTGTGGACTCCACTTTGTGGCCCCATTTCTTAAGGTTGGCTCTGCATCTCGTGGTGCCAGAGTGCAGTCTTTTTAGGGCCTTCCAAGTTGCCCAGTCTTCTCTGCACCCAGGGGGGAGCCTCTCATTCAGTATCAGCCATGGCTTGAGATTCCAGGTTTTCACCTGCCACTTTTGGACTCTCGCTTACTGAGGTGTTCCTGCGAGTATCTCTATAGATCTTAGAAAACTATTTCTTGATGTAAGGTGTTGGTGAGCATAATGTTGATTATCTGATTTGATAATCTGGATTATATGGCGGTGTAGAAGAGGCCACAGTTTGAACTAAGGTGTCTAAACCAGGCATAGGCAAACAATTCCTAACAGCCTGAGGGGGGAAAGGAAGGAGGCAGAGGCTGTTAGGAACTGTGGGAGTTGAAGTCCAAAAAACTGGAGGGCTGAAGTTTGCCCATGCCTGATGTAGATGCAGTTTCATCCCTGACTGCACAAGTCCCTAGCCCTCAATGAGTAGTTACAGATAGATTAGAGTGAGGGATTCCTTCCCCAAATTCCTTATGCATGCCTATCTTAAGAAGGGGTGCAGAAGGCTTAGAAGGGGTGTTGTCTTTTTCATTCTGCATGCTACTATCTCCTCCCCCTTTGAAAAGCTGGGTTGCAGTTAAACATCAAAAAACCAAGATTCTGGCAACTGGACTGACTGATAACTGGGAAATAGAGGGAGAAAACGTGGAGGTCGTGACAGACTTTGTATTTCTAGGTGCAAAGATTACTGCAGACACAGACTGCAGCCAGGAAATCAGGAGATGCTTACTTCTTGGGAGGAGAGCAATGTCCAATCTCGATAAAATAGTGAAGAGTAGAGACCTCACACTGGCAATGAAGATGTGCATAGTTAAAGCAATGGTATTCCCCATAATCACCTACGGATGTGAGAGCTGGACCATAGGGTAGGCTGAACGAAGGAAAATAGACGCTTTTGAACTGTGGTGTTGGAGGAAAATTCTGAGAGTGCCTTGGACCACAAGAAGATCAAACCAGTCCATACTCCAGGAAATAATGCCCGACTGCTCACTGGAGGGAAGGGTATTAGAGGCAAAGATGAAGTATTTTGGCCACATCATGAGAAGACAGGAAAGCTTAGAGAAGACAATGATGTTGGGGGAAATGGAAGGAAAAAAGGAAGAGGGGCCGACAAAGGGCAAGATGGATGGGTGGTATCCTTGAAGTGACTGGCTTGACTCTGAAGGAGCTGGGGTGGTGACGGCCAACAGGGAGCTCTGGTGTGGGCTGGTCCATGAGATCACGAAGAGTTGGAAGTGACTGAACGAATTTTTATTTTATCGTGTCAGGAGCAAACCAAAACAGTTGTATTGCATTAAAAACAAACAAACAAACAAAACACAAAGTTTGCAGACTTGGTGTTCTATTAAATGTACTTTGACCAGTAGCTGGCCACTTGGAGTGCCTCTGGTGTTGCTGCAAGGTCCTCCATTTTTCATGTGGCAGGGCTCAGGTTGCATTGCAGCAGGTGGTCAGTGGTTTGCTCTTCTCCACACTCGCATGTCATGGATTCCACTTTGTAGCCCCATTTCTTAAGATTGGCTCTGCATCTCGTGGCGCCAGAGTGCAATCTGTTCAGCATCTTCCAAGTCGCCCAGCTTCCTGTGTGCCCAGGAAGGAGTCTCTCATTGGGTATCAGCCATTGATTGAGATTCTGGGTTTTAGCCTGCCACTTTTGGACTCTCACTTGCTGAAGTGTCCCAGCAAGTGTCTCTGTAGATCTTAGAAAACTATTTATTGATTTAAGGCGTTAGCGTGTTGCTGATACCCAAACAAGGGGTGGGCCAGAGATGTCACTGCCTTGGTCCTTTCACTATTGGTTGCTACTCCCCGGTGGATGTCAGGTGGTGCAATACCGACTAAACAGTGTAATTTCTCCAGTGGTGTAGGGTGCAGACACCCCATGTTAAGAGCCACATTCACTGTTTTAGCGTGGTGAGATGTGTTCCACCCTGGGCATGCATACTCAGCAGCAGAGTAGCATATCGCAAGAGCAGATGTCTTCACTGTATCTGGTTGTGATCCCCAGGTTGTGCCAGTCAGCTTTTGTATGATATTGTTTCTAGCACCCACTTTTTGCTTGATATTCAGGCAGTGCTTCTTGCAGGTCAGAGCAGGGTCCAGGGTAACTCCCAGGTATTTGGGTATGCTGCAATGCTCCAGTGGGATTCCTTCCCAGGTAATCCTTAGAGCTCGAGATGTTTGCCTGTCCTTGTTATGAAAAGCACATGTCTGTGTTTTAGATGGATTAGGAATCAGCTGGTTTTCCCTGTAATAGGCAGTAAGAGTACCTAGAGCAGGTGTCCTCAAACTAAGGGCCGCGGGCCGGATGCAGCCCTCCAAGGTCATTTACCCAGCCCTCACTCAGAGTCAACCTAAGTTTGAAACGACTTGAAAGCACACAACAACAACAATCCTATATCATCAGCCAAAAGCAGGTCCACACTCCCCATTGAAATACTAATAAGTTTAAACTTGTTAAAATTGTTCTTCATTTTAATTATTATATTAAGTGGGTTTTTTTGCACTACAAATAAGATATGTGCAGTGTGCATGGGAATGCACTCATGTTTGTTTGTTTTCAAATTATAATCTGGCCCTCCAACAGTTTGAGGGACTGTGACCTGGCCCTCTGTTTAAAAAGTTTGAGGACCCCTGACCTAGAGCTTCGGAGAGCTTCTGTTCAACCATCTCAAAGCTCCCTGCTTGAGCGGTAATGGCACGATCATCAGCATAGATGAAACTCTCTGTCCCTTCTGGCAATGGCTGGTCACTTGTGTAAATGTTGAACATTGATGGAGCAAGCCCACTCCCCTGAGGCAGGCCATTCTTCTGAACGAGTAAACAACAACAACCTCCCCCTTTGAAGTTTGCCCATGCCTGGTGTAAACACTGACAATATAAAGGAATTCAGGCTGCATTCTATGAGGGTCCAGGCTAAGCAATATTTGGCGAGGGAGAAGAGATAGAGAGAGGCAAGGAGGGGGCGGGGCCTCCCGACTTTGACTGACAGTTTACATAATGAGCTCGCGAGACCCACGAGGCGCGTATATAAACAGCTCCCGGGGAAGCCGCGCTTCCACTCAGGAGGCGGCGGAGGAGAGCTTGCTTCCATCTCAGCTCTTGCTCGAGCCACTCTCCCCCTCCTCTTCTTCTTCTACTACTTTGGAGTTTTATCCGAGTCGCCCCAGCGGAGTTTCCCCCTTTTGGGACGGGAGGATTAAGCCGTGGGTGGTTGGAAGCGCCTGGATTAGCCGCCCTTGAGGAAAGAGAGGAGCCCAAAGGATGGCAACGCTGCGCCTCCTGCCCTTGACGCTCGCCTTCGCCCTGGCGCTCCAGGTAAAGTAACGCTCCCGGAGGGATCGGAAAGGGAGTAGTAGGGATCCCTAGGCGAAGCTCTGACTCACGCGGCCTCTCCTCCTCCTCCTCCTCCTCCTTCTCCTCCCTTCAGAGGGGCTCCGCCTCGGGCGTCTTCCAGCTGGAGCTGCAGGAGTTCGTCAACTTGGCCAGCGGGGAGACCTGCGCCTCCGCCGGAGCAGCCTGCCGCACCTTCTTCCGCGTCTGCCTGAAGCACTTCCAGGCCGTCATCTCCCCCGGAGGATGCACCTTCGGCAGCCTGGTCACGCCGGTCCTGGGCACCGGATCCTTCACCGTCCGGCCCGCCGAGGGGCCCGGCAACCAGCTCCAGCTGCCCTTCAACTTCACCTGGCCGGTGAGGGAGCCTTGGGTCTCCAAAGGCGGCAGGGGAAGAGCTTCCAACTCATCTCCAAGGGCAGCAGGGGAAGGGCCTCCACCTCAACTTTAGGACAAACGTCCTGGCATGCAGAGCTGTTTCATAGTGGAGTAGGACTCAGGCATGGGTAAACTTGGTCCCTCTAGGTGTTTTGGACTTCAACTCCCACCATTCCTAACAGCCTACAGCCTCAGGCCCCTTCCTTTTCCCCCTCAGCCGCATAAAACACCTAGAGGGACCAAGTTTACCCATGCCTGGAATAGGTTGCCTTGGAAGGTCGTGAAGTCTCCTTCTCTCCATGGGTGATTCTTGGTTTGGAAAAAGTCCAAGAGAAAGGCATCTAAGTGGCTCAGAAGACCACACGCTGGGCATGAGGCAACAGTGTGATGCGGCAGCTAGGAAGGCCAATGTGATTGTAGGCTGCATCAATAGGAGTATAATGCAGGCATGAGCAAACTTTCAAACTTGGGAGGTCCCATGGTGGTCTGCTTGGTGGGTCGGAGAAAAGGGATTCTCCTCAAGTTTCCTCCCTGCCCTTTCCTCCCCTTCTTCTTCTCTTTCAGAGGTAGAAAGTGAAGGAAAGAGGGAAGGGAGGGAAGAGGGAAGAGGGAGGGAAGGGAAAGGGGAAGGAAGAAGATAGAGAGAGGGAAGTAGGAAAGGGAAGGGAAGGGAAAGGGGAAGGAAGAAGATAGAGAGAGGGAAGTAGGAAAGGGAAGGAAGGACAAGGGGGAAGGAAGGAGGGAGAACGAGAGAGGGAAAGGAAGGAAAAGAGGGATGGAGGAAGGAAAGATGGAAGGAAGGAAGAGAGGGAAGGAGATAGGAAAGAGAAGGAAGAAAAGACAAAAGGGAAGGAAGGAGAAAGAGGGAAATAGGGAGGAAAGGGAAAGAAGAACGAAAGGGTGGAAGGGAAGGAGAAAGGGAGGGAAGGAGGAAGGAAAGGAAGAAGGTAGGAAGGATATGATGGTGAGAGAAAGGAGATCCTGAGAAAGGGCCACATCCACCCCCCAGGCCTGGGTTTACCCATACCTGGTATAGTGTCTAGATTGAAAGAAGTCATTGTCTGCTTTGGTCAGACCACACCTGTGTTCACTTCTGGTCACCACACTTCAAGAGGAGAGGGCAGGCTTATTTTCTGCTGCTCTGGAGACTAAGCATCAGAGCAATGGAATGAAATTGCAGGAAAGGAGATTCCACCAAAACTTTAGGAGAAACTTCTTGGTATTAAGAGCGGTTTGAGAGTGGAATAGGTTCCCTCAGAAGGTGGTGAGTTCTCAAGCAGAGGCTGGAGGGCTGTCTATCAGGAGGCTTTGATTGTGTGTTCATGGGGTTGGACTGGATGGTCTTGGGAATCTTTTCCAACTCTAGGAATCTATGGTGTCCAACTACATGAAGGTGCATCTACACTAGTTTGACCCTACTTTAACTGCCACTGATCAAGGTTGTGGAATCATGGGGTCTAGTGAAGCATCAGCACAAGGTTACTGTGAGTTTTCCGGGCTGTAGGGCCATGTTCCAGAAGCATTCTTTCCTGATGTTTCACCCACATCTATGGCAGGCATCCTTAGAGGTTGTGAGGTCTGCTGGAAACTAGGCAAGTGGGGTTTATATATCTGTGGAATAATGTCCAGGGTGGGAGAAAAAACTCTTGTCTGCTTGAGGCAAGTGTGAATGTTGCAATTAGCCATCTTGATTAGCATTGAATAGCCTTGCAGCTTCAAAACCTGGGTGCTATGTGCCTGGGGGAATCCTTTGTTGGGATGTGATAGCTGGCATAAGCACCGTTTGGGAGAGAAAGCTAAAGACTCTGCAAAACTACAACTTTGCAGCATAAAGTGGGTCCAACTGCATTCATGATGCAGTCTAGGAGAAGAGGGAAAGAGAGAGAGAGAACATTCCCCTCCTACTTAGGGAGAGACTAGGTACGTTTTCCCAAGAGATGAAAACACTCCTGCCCCAGGAAGCTCCATTTCATCGGCTCTGGACAAAGTAATGCAATCTGCAATTAGATTAATTGAAATGGATTGCCTCCACCTGCACTGCCAGGTAAAGAAGAGGTTTAGTGGTTTCACTCGATTGTTTGGAAGCTCTGGAGAGGACTGTGGGCCCTTTGCGATCACTTTTCACTATCGTTCATTCACCTCTTGTCTTAATTTCTGTGTGTTGCTCTTTTCTTTCCTTTCACAGGGAACTTTCTCGTTGATCATTGAAGCCTGGCACGCGCCTGAAGGTTACCATCCAGCAGGTGAATATGGCATTTTACTCCTTAGTCACTAGGGGGCGATAGAGGCTCAGAACTTTCTTTATGTTATAAACTTGTGAAGGATTTATTTTTTTAAAATCACAGAATAATTAAATCTATCAACATTATAATAACACAGCTGTCTGCTCAGCAAAATAAATACGTTTTGTCTGCACGTAGTTCCTCGGAGTATCTTTTCTTTGGTGGGTTTAAGTGTGCAAGCCAGAGCTTTTCCCCTGCATTGCCATCAAGTTTTGCTTTGATTTTGTCCCTTACTTAATCTCCACACAATTGCGTTTCCTCCCGTTTATTTTTGGCGTGGGAAAGAAAGGAGCTCTTTGGTGAGAAAACGGCAAGGCTGCCAAAAAGTCCTGACTGCCTTTTCCTGTATTTTACACCTTTTTCAAATTCCGCCCTTTGGAAAAGGAATAATGGCTTTGGGATGTTTTTCTGACATAAAGGAAAAGGATATTTCAACAGCAGCAGAGCTTTTACTTTGAAAGGCTTTCTGCAAAACTTCTCAGGGCCATGGTTAACAATAATAGATACGAAGGGCAACAACAAGAAAAAAACAGTGAGGTTTTTTCCCCCCTCGTTTGTACAATATGACAACACCACCCCCTTTCCCAGTTACTGCTGTCAAATACCTCAATATTTCCCTGTACTTTTGATAAAGGAGAGTTTTAAAATCATAGAGATGGAAGAGACCTCGTGGGCAATCCAGTCCAACCCTCTGCCAAGAAGCAGGAAAATTGCATTCAAAACACCCCTGACAGATGGCCATCCAGCCTCTGTTTAAAAGTCTCTAAAGAAAGAGCCTCCACCACATCAATTGCCATTATTTGGCACAACATTTGTGGAATACTGCAGCATTCTTTTGCAACACAACTTGCAACATATGGGCTGCCATGAATGGCTTACTTGAGCCCCTTTACCTGGAACAACTGGAACTTTATTTCCATTTGAACTGTCTTGTTATTTTGGATTCTTATGAACATACTTAAGTTGGAAAGAGCATTACTTGGTTTTGGTTTGTGGAGGTGCTTGTGGATGGAAACTCTTGCACTTGGGTTTGATTCGAGATGACACTGGAGAGAAAGTACAAGTGAGAGCGTAATGTGAGAACGGTTTTAATAAGGTCATGGCGTGTGATAGTGTCCACAGGAGATGGCGTAATGCTAATGGCAATTTCACTGCAAGTTGTTTTAGCTGAGTAAAGTTTTCCCTTGACATTAAGTTTAGTTGAGTCAGCCTCTGGGGGTTGGTGCTCATCTCCATTTCTAAGTTGCAGAGCCGGCATTGTCCGTAGACTTCTCCAAGTTCATGTGGCCGGCATGACTGCATGAAGCGCTGTTACCTTCCTACTGGAGTGGTACCTATTCAGCTACTCATATTTGCATGTTTTCGAACTGCTAGGTTGGCAGGAGCTGGGGCCAACAGCAGGAGCTCACCCTGTCCTGCGGATTCGAACTGCCAACCTTTTGGTCAGCAAGTTCTGCAGCTCAGCGGTTTAATCCACTGTGCCACCGCAGCCCCATTGGCAGAGCAGAGTTAGGTAAATAGTAAAAGCAGTCAAGGGGGAACCCTGTGGAGGGATTGTCTATTTTTTTGGCAGGATTCTGGAGTCTTGGACAATTGTTAAGTGGGTAAACATTTACCATCAAAGCCATACCTATGGCACAGGGACAGGGAAATGCCCTTGTTGAACTTCTGCCTGTATCACAGCTGTTAAAAACAAATGCCCCATCAGGCCCTGGAAAGAAAGGTTGGGGAGGGGTGAAAAACAGTCTGTGAGGACGTGAAAGGATGCCTTGGCCTTGAAATTAGAGAACGGTACCAGATAGGTGACGTCTGGCACAGTATGAATCCCCTCGGAAGGCACCTGTGCTTCCCTTTTCAAGAGAGGCATGTGGAACGTGGCCAATTAAGTCTTTCTCATTCATCAAGCACATCAATTTTATTTAGGCCAGACATGGACAAACTTGGGCTCTCTCCAGGTGTTTTGGACTTCAACTCCCATCATTCCTAACAGCCTCAGGCCTTTTCTTTTTCCCCCTCAGCCGCTTAAGCTGAGGAAGGAAGGTGCCTGAGGCTATTAGGAATTCTGGGAGTTTGCCCATGCCTGATTTAGGCCCTTGAGAGATTGGGTTGCTTCCATTGTGCAGGGTTGGGCTAGATGGCCCTTGAGTCCCCTTCTTTCTCATGCTTGAGGTGTTTGCTTTCCTTCCTTCAGGTTCCGAAGCCCTGGCCCAGAAATGGCTGATCAGCCAAATGGCGATCAAGCGCTCGCTGGCGGTGGGCAAGGCCTGGTCCCAGGACGAGCAGAGTAATGAGCGGGCCAAACTGCGCTACTCCTACCGCGTGGTCTGCAACGAGGACTACTATGGTGACAACTGCTCCCGCCTTTGCAGGGGCCGCAACGACCACTTCGGCCACTACCTCTGCGAATCCGACGGCAGCGTGGCTTGCCTGCCCGGCTGGAAGGGGAACTATTGCACTGAAGGTGAGTGGCTGGCGGTTTGATTGACTGGCTACCTCCCAAAATCAGCAGAAGGGAGGGACATGCAGCTGGAGGTTTATTTTATTTATTTATTGTGTCAGAAGCGAATTGAGGGGACAGTTGTAATGTATTTAAAAACACAAACAAAGTTAAAAACTTGGCATTATACTAAATGTCCTTTGACCAGTAGCTGGCCGCTAGGAGTGCCTCTCTGGTGTTGCTATAAGGTCCTTGCAGCATGTAGCAGGAGTGAAGTGACATGCAGTACGCAGCTGGAGGTGAAGAAGTCAGAGAGAGCCAACAGCGCCCCCTAGTGCTCGCAGTTGTGCATGACACCCCGTTTCCCAATTGTGTGCATTTCTGGCGCACAGAGGCAGACGCACATGCACACAACTAGTGCTATGAGAGTTTCTTGCAATTGGAATAAAGATAGAAGGCAGCAATTAAAAAGAACCCTAATTTAGACTCTGACATTTGCTGGATGGGAGCGTCATTCCCCACCAAGCACGGGGTACATCCACACTATAGAGTTAATGCAGTTTGACATCACTTTAATGGCCATGACTGGGATTTGTAGTTTGGTGAGACACGAGCACTCTTTGGCAGAGAAGGCTTGTAAAACTACAACTGCCAGGATTCCATAGCATTGAGTCCTGGCGGTAAAAGTGGTGTTGACCCGTATTCAGTGTAGATCAGACATGGGCAAACTTGGACCCACCAGGTGCTTTGGATTACCACAATTCTTCACTGCCTCAGGCCACTTCCTTTTCTTCTCCTTTTCTGCTTAAGTGGCTGGGGAAGAAAAAAAAGTGGGCTGAGGCTGTTAGGAATAGCAGGAGTTGTAGTCCAAAACACCTGGAGGGGAGGGCCCAAGTTGGTCCATGCCTCATGTAGATCCATCCAATGTTGTGCCTCGTATTCATTTGAGAACCAGGAAAGGAAGCTCCATGTGGGTTCAGTGGTAAGCCCCTTTGGCATGGAGGCTGCTCCCTTCCTGCCTTCCCAGGGGCCCCTCATAATGTGAGGAAACTCTTCAGTGGATGCTTATCTGGAGCAGACCGAAAAGAAAGGCTTCCTCCAAGCCCCTTGAACTCTTTACCCTTGTAAATCAGCTTCACCCTTTGTTTGCATTTGCCATGTAATAAATTAGGTGTGGAATGTTGGGTTTGTTTTGATAAGTTTACCAAAAATATAGTTGCCATATCAAAGAGCAGTTGTTTCCTCCGTTCCCTGGATTCCAACTTAAGAATAAAAAACATGGGCTCCATCAGAAGAGAAAATAAAATGCTCGCTACTTTGTTGCTAAGGTAGTCAGTGCAGATGAGTGTTCCCTGAAAGAGACCCTGAACAGGCTTTGCAGTTATAGACAATTTGTCATCAAATCTCATTTGAAAGGTTAGTCTTTTTGTAAACAGGTCATATAACTGTCCAAGATATCTTGCCAATTTGGTACCATTTGTTTCATTTCTTGTATTGATTGACAAAACCCTTCGCATCTTATGGACTCCAAGATCACGGTTTCTGTGTGTAAAGGAGAATTTTGGATGGGGAAATACAGAATTTTGACTCCTTCTCATGCGTGCTCCAATTGCAACTAAACCATTTTCACTTAGTCCCCTCATTTGCACCAAATGCAACTGGTGGTATAATTAAATGCTCCTAGATTGACTTCAGGAAATATTTTAAGTAAGAACTGATGATAAAAAGTATTTTCATTGTCATTAGATCTCGCCTGCATTTCATTTCTTAAACACCTCCGCATATAAAACAATTTTTGAAAAGGATTTCTTAATAGGAACTATTGATTTTTTTTTTCATATGGACCTTATAATTTGGAGTCTAGGTTCATGGGCTAAGAAGTTTAGAGTTGCACCATGGCTAAAAGTTGTGTGTACAGACACCACTGTTACTGCCAAACTTGATAAAACTGGTATGGTTTTTAAAATGCAGCCATGTTCTTCCTCGCCTTAGGAAACCTGATCTATATTTGTTGTGGAAACAAAAGCAAACCTGGCTTTACAGGAAAACAGTATTTGTGGGAACAATGCTGGTGTTGTAGGCTTGACTAGCTCTTTTTAAATCTTGGGTTTATATATGTATATAAATGTGCTACCTTACAGAAAGCAAGTATATCTGCTGACTGTATATTGCCGCCACCCCTGCCTTACTCTGCCAAATAATGCAACTTCAGCCATAGATACGGAGATTGATAGACATGTACCTTTGGATAGCATAGGGAAGGGTTCACACCCCCTGTGGTGTTTGTTTTGCTGCCCGTGTCCCTGTTAAGAAAACTTCACCTCACTTTCTGTCCCTGTGATAACTGGATTTTGAAAAATTTGTCTTGTTGTGGAAACAAGGATAGGTGATAAAGCTTCAATGGAGACCCCTTTCCCCCATGAGGACTCTTTCAGGAGTAAATTTCCCTTCCTTGGGGTAGATTTCTCTCACTTCCTGTTCTTACCCCATTCTTAACTGCAAGTCATTTGTAAGTCAGTGTTTGCAACTTGGGGACTGTCTGTATATGGCAATGTGAATGGGGCCTTGGTTTGCATAATTCTGAGCAAAACATATGAGTTATCTTCTGAAGATAATGTTGGTTTTTCTTTGAGTGCAAGATATAAGCAGTACCCTTAGAAATTATTCTAGATAGGATACAAATGTGATAAATATTTTGAAATATGTTGGTTTTTAACAATTCTGTACTTCCACATTTTTTTCACAGCTATTTGTTTGGCTGGTTGTTCGGAGAATGGATTCTGCCAAAGTCCAGGAGAGTGCATGTAAGTTGTTATCACACTAGATTTGACTAATACTAATGTATAAAATCCACTTCTTTGCTACTTCCAATCTACATACAGTAGAGTCTCACTTATCCAACCTTTGCTCATCCAACATTCTGTATTATCCAACGCAGTCTGCCTCCCGCCCGAATCTACAACTGTTTCAATACTTTGCAATGTTTTGGTGCTTAATTTGTAAATCAAAGTTTGACGTTTAATAGGCTTGCCCTCCTTATTATCCAACATTTTCACTTATCCAACGTTCTGCCAGCCCATTTATGTTGGATAAGCAAGACTCTACTGTATTTGAATTGGTATCACTGGTTAAAAATAACAACTGCCTTTGACATCCATGGTTCCAGATCATTTCACAAGGGCTGAAACAGTTTAATTAATTTCTTCTCAGATGTCGCAATGGTTGGCGAGGCCGTTATTGTGACGAATGCATTCCTCATGTGGGTTGTCGTCATGGAACCTGTACCAAACCGGGGAAGTGCATTTGCGATGAAGGATGGGGAGGCCTCTTCTGTGATCAAGGTGAGTTGGCATAATGATGACAGGGATGGTAAAGGGATGCTTTAGTGTGATAGCTGATTGAGGCTATTTCATTAATTGTAGAGAGACAGCATGGTGTAGTGGAAAGACACGGGAAGACCAGGTTTCAAAGCCCTTCTTGGTCGTTGACTTCACTGGGTGATCTTGGGCAAGTCACATATTCTCAGCCTCAGAGGATGGCAAGGGCAAACCCTCCTGAACAAATTGTGCCAAAAAACCTCAATGTTAAGTTCACCATAGGGTTGCTATAAGACAGAAATGATTTAAAGGCACACAATAATTGGTGTGGACAGCCATAAAGTACGCACCCCTTGATAAGCAAACTAATAAGCCTAAAAGGAAACTTGATTGTGCAAGAATGTCAAGTATTAGGCACAGGTGAGATTTGAGCCACAGATGCTAAGCCACATTGAAAAATCACATCACTGAAGAGAAATGGATAATACTCCTAGAATCACCTTCCCATGTGTCCTTTCCCCTATCCCAGGCAAAATTTGTGAATACATACACACCAAATACCAAGCAATTCTCACATTCCACTGCACTAAAATAAACAAAAAAGAGCAAACAAATATACATACATTGTGATAACATTTGAGAGCTGTGTTACAGACAATAATACTGTCTTTATACAGCCTTAGGCCCATTTGTTTATGTTAGGTACACAGAGTAATTCATCTGGTTCAGGAGGTTTATCCTGATCAACCCTAGCAAAGGAAATGTCATTGTTTCTGTGGACATATAATTCAAGGTGTTTGAGACCAAATCTTTACGCTTTGATGTTATGCGTCATCTTAAATGCTATTGTTAAGACCTAGACATCTCACTGACTGGAAGTTTTCCTTTTCTCCTCTGCCCATTGTGTCCTCCCAGATCTGAACTACTGCACACATCACAGACCCTGCAAAAATGGAGCCACTTGCACAAATACTGGCCAGGGGAGTTACACCTGTTCCTGCAAAGAAGGTTTTACTGGCATTGACTGCGAAAGAAATATCAGCGTATGTGACAGTAACCCCTGCAAGAATGGAGGCAGCTGCACGGTAAGAACTAAATATATATATATATATATATATATATATATATATATATATGACATACATCTAGAAAAAAAGAAATGAAGTTGCTTTCTATATGAATCATACAAGTAAAATATTTATATCCCAGACTTCTGAAGAGCTCAGGGCAATGCTTTCTCTTTCTTTCACACCTGGGCACTTTCTTGAATCTGCACCATAGCTTTACCAGTACATTCACCCTTATGAACTTCAATAGTGTGTGCAGACTTCTCCACAGAAGAGCAACTTCCTACATGTGAAAGTAAAACTGTCAATATTGTGTTGCCTTTTTATACATCCCTGATGCAACTACCTCTGCACTGTGCATAATTTCAAAATTTAGGCTGATTGCACCAGGGTGTACTGATGGCTAACATTGTGAATACCTTTAACAGGAGATTGGATAATTTTATGGAGAGTGGATCTATCCATAGCTATTGCTCTGGATGACTTTATGTGTCTTCCAAGACAAGAGGCAGTATGGCTCTAAGAGATAAAGGGTGCCATTGCATTTTGTCTTGTTACTAGGCTTCCGAAATATGACTAATCTTTCAGGACAGAATGTTGGATGAAAGAGGCCTTTGGTCTGATCCAACAGAGCTTTTCATATGTACACTTCTTTTCCCCCACCATGGACATTCCACAGATACATAAAACCTCACTTGCCTAGTTTCCAACAGACCTCACAACCTCTGAGGACGCCTGCCATAGATGTGGGCAAAACATCAGGAGAGAATGCTTCTGGAACATAGCCATACAGCCCAGAAACCTCACAGCCGTCCTTTTCATATGTTCTTTAAAAATGTTGCTTCTGAATGGAAGGAATACTTAATTCCTCCTCATCATCCCTTTCTTCTATTTTCTTCTCCTCTTCCTTCCCCTTCTCCCCAAATCCAAATAACCTACAGTGACCCACACCATCCCTTCACTACTAGTTTCTTGAGATATTTGGTGGTCCAACCTTCTCGAACGTAATTGAAGTATAAAGGTGTTTTCAATGTTGCTTCCAGTACAAGGTTTTAAATCCCTTTTTTTCACCCACAAGACTTTCTAATAATTGGGTCAGATTAAGATTTAGTCATGTTTAGTTTAGGCCCAGTGAGATCCATGGGACCCAGGTTAAGTTAATTATTGAGTTTGTGTGACCTTCCAGATGATGTTGAACTGCAACTTGCATTTGCTGTGGTGAACAGGTGTGCTGCGGTCTGGAGAGCAGCACAATTCCAGCTCCTGCATTCGAATTTCACTGAGAGATGATGCATCGGTCTAATGCAGTTATAATGAGATTTGCTCTTAAGAGAAGCGAAAGTGAAGAGATTATGTAGCCATTGCAGAAATCAGAAGAATATCTGAATGCTGCCCAGGTTTCATCATAGAATCAGTTTTCTCCAGCTAGGATCTGAATTTAAAATTTAGTCCCAACTATGCATCAGTGGAGTATAAATATTGACTTACAAGTTCTCAGTGATTCACTGGATCTACTCTAGTTGGGACTAAGCTTTAAAACTACTATTGGACTTAAGTCTAGATATTTGCTGTAACCCTGCTTATAAGTGAAGCTGCCAAAGGCCAACTCCTTTTATTTTGATTTTTTTGAGATTCATTTGTAATGCTCAGAGAAACTGAATAATACAAATTATCTCAAGAACCGTATAATTAAATTTGAAATGTCTTTTTTGTTTCTTCTGCAGGATTTAGTGAAAGATTACAAATGTACATGTCCCACAGGATATGATGGGGTCAACTGTGAGCACAGTGCCTTGACTTGTGTGGATTTTCCATGTTTTAATGGTGGCACATGCCTAGAAAGGGAACAAGGAACCAGCTATGCGTGCGTGTGCCCTGTGGGCTTTACCGGATCTAACTGTGAGAAGAAAGAAGACAGGTGCACCAACAACCCCTGTGCTAATGGTATGTTTTTTTCATTGGAAAGATTTTGTGGATTTTAAGTGCAAGCAACTTTAATTTTGGTTTCAACTTTTTAGAAGGCACAGATTTTAATCAGTGGGCATGCCCTTTTATCTAGAGGTTTAATAGGCATCAATCTGAGAAAGTGAGTTTTTATTGCTAAGACCCAAATTGCAGGATTCCTTTTCTCCTCAGGCATGGTTGGCATTGAGTTTTGTAAGGTTTCAGCATCACTTAAAGGCTTATCTCTTCACCCAGGCTGAATTTGTTGAATTTGTATTGCTGCACTTTGTACATTGCTGTATATATGACTTTCCCTAACCCTGTTTTCACTGCATTATTAGTTTGTTGTATATTGATAGATGGATGGTATGATTTTGTTGTGTATCTAGTTGGCACTTTTAAAAATGAAGTTGAGTTAAGAACTAAGAAAATTTTAAAAATAGACACATAAACTATGAATGTTGTGTAAATGCATCCCATTAGGCTTTTACACTAGCTCTTTGCAATTCATAGCAATTCATACTAGTAATTGCTTCAAACTGAGCCCCCTGGTGGCACAGTGGGTTAAACCACTGAGCTGCTGAACTTGCTGACCTAAAGGTTGACAGCTTGAAGCCAGGAAGCAGGGTAAGCTCCCGTTGGTAGGCCCAGCTTCTGCCAACCTACCAGTTCAAAAACATGCAAATGTGAGTAGATCAATAGGTACCGCTTCTGTGGGAAGGTAACGGCGCTCCATGCAGTCATGCTGGCCACATAACCTTGGGGTGTCTACGGACAACGCCAGCTCTTCAGCTTAAAAATGGAGATGGCCACCACCCCCAAAAGTCAGACATGACTAGACTTAATGTCAGGGGAAACCTTTACCTTTACCTACCTAATTGCTTCTAAAGCTTTACAACTTTGTAACCATCAGACCTAACAATCTTGGCAGGACAAATAATTGTTTAGGTGTTCATGGGTTTAGCACAGGCATGGCCAAACTTTGGCTCTCCAGGTGTTTTGGATTCCAGCCCCCACAATTCCTAACAGCATCAGGCCCCTTCCTTTTTCCTTGCTCTCCCTCTCTGATACAGTACTTCAGTCATATTTTGTTTGAACCAGAGTAACCTGTTACATCGTTTATTTAGCAAAAGCTTTACCATTGTTACATTCCGCGCAACATCTGTCGGTTGTAAATATGTATACCACAAGTATTTCACAAAAGCTGTGCCATTGTTGCATTCCGTGCGACAAAGTCACTAAATGGACCTTTCTCTGTGTTTTTCTTTACAGGTGGGCAGTGCTTTGTCTTGGGCCAGCAACATGTGTGTATCTGCCGCCCTGGCTTCTCCGGACAGAAGTGTGAGATAAACGTCAGCAAGTGCTCTAGAAATCCCTGTTCCAATGGAGGATCCTGTCATGATCTTTTGAATACACATGATTACACATGTACTTGTTTGCCAGGCTTCACTGGTCGAAACTGTGACATAAGAACTAGAGATGAATGTGCCTCTGGGCCATGCCAGAATGGGGGAACATGCTATGTTGGGCGTTTTGCTCCGGGTTTTGCCTGCCACTGTCCCCATGGCTTCAATGGCCTCTATTGTGAATCATCAGCATATCTTACAGTGACAGACCCACAGCTTCCGAAACCGGTTCCATGGGTGGCCATCTCTATGGGCGTCGGGCTAGTGGCTCTCCTCATCCTATGCTGCATGATTGCAATAGTCATCCGGCAAATGCAGAGGCAGCCAGAACGTAACTCCGAAACCATGAACAACTTGACTGACTTCCAGAAAGAAAACCTCATCCCGACTGCGCAACTTAAAAACACCAATAAAAATAAAGACCTCGAAGTAGACTGTGTGCTGGAGAAATCAAATTACAAACTGAAGAATCACACATTGGATTATAACCTGGTGAAGGAGCTGACGAGTAGAGGGGTTCAGGAAGACAAATACCATAAAAGTGAAAAGTGTATAGGAGAGAAATCACCCTTCTGGTTACACAGGTACAACCATGTCTTTCAGAAGCCTCGTTTTTCTCCATAGTTGGAAAATGTGAACACTTACGTATGAGTGTTAAAAACATGAGAAGAGAGCAAATCAGACATTTGCTTGATTCTTAGAGGATTGCAAATAAATGGGGAATTTATAGCTTTGAGGTTTTAGTTTTATTGTATGGTACACCGTTTCCACAAGTAAAAGAATGTGCAGTCTGTTTTTAACAGTTAGATGAATATAACTTTTTATCATATTTTAAAATCTTGTAAGCCAGGCAATTTTTTGGGGGATATCTTTTGTGCATTGCATGGGTTTAGCACAAGTATGGACAAACTTTGGCCCTCTAGGTGCTTTGGACTCCAACTCCCACAATTCCTAACAGCTAAAGCGGCTGAGGGGGGAAAGAAAAGGGTCTGAGGCTGTTAGAAATTGTGGGAGTTGGAGTCCAAAACATCTGGAGGGCCAACATTTGCCCATGCCTGGTTTAGCACATGCTCAAAGCCCGTTTTGGAATTGTCTACAGCAATAAGTGTTTTGGAAATAGCCCTAGCCCCTCTTCCCTAATATGCTCATTCTACTCTGTCTGCAATACACTCCAGATCAGTGGTTCTCAACCTGTGGGTTCCCAAATGTTTTGGCCTTCAACCCCCAGAAATCCTAACAGCTGGTAAATTGGCTAGGATTTCTGGGAGCTGTACGCCAAAATATCTGGGGACCCACATGTTGAGAACCTGTTTTCCTGTTTTCCTTCCTGTCTAGTATTGGGGGGTTTTTTGGGGGGGGGGGGGGGTCTTGTTAGTTTTTTTTAGTTTTTTTTTTTTTTTGTCTTTTGTCTTGTCTATTTTTTCCGTTCGAAATGGTGGTAATAGCCTCTTTGTGTGAGACACCTTGGGTTGACACACAACCCAAATTGGAACCACCAATTCCCTGGACAAAAATGGTGTAATCATTGCAGTGAAGGTTGTTCTGAGATTCTTCCTCTCAGAGATATTTATTTTTCAAAAGCACCTCCCCTTCAGCAGAGTCAACTTGAATTACTTAGCATATTTATTTATTATTATTTATTTAAAGCATTTATATTCCGCCCTTCTCATCCTGAAGGGGACTCAGGGCAGAGCACAGCATATATATAGCAAACATTCAATGCTGGAACATTAAATAAACTATAAATATACATAAACACTAAAACTAGCCATCTCTACTTTAAAATTGATTGTTTAAACCATCTCAGATCAGCCATACTGAATCCGGTCAGCAGAGTAATGATTCCTATTGTTGTATTGTTGAAGGCTTTCATGGCCGGAATCACTGGGTTGTTGTATGTCAGGAGAGAATGCTTCTAGAATATGGCCATACAGCCCGAAAAACCTACAACAACCCACATTCCTGTTGTTGCCTTATTGCACCATCTCAAAGGATAACCAGATCCTCACAAGTTGCAAATCTTTAGCCTGTGAATATTTTGAAAATGACCATAATTTAATAATAATAATAATAATAATAATAATAATAATAATAATAATAAATAATAACAACAACAATAATTAATAATTTTATTTCTTGCCTGCCTCTCCTCATGGTTTGAGGCAGGTTTCAACATTGCTAAAGCACACATTCATCTAAAAACATTCTTTAAAATACACTAATATGTGGAAAACATATTTCCACAACATACACATTAACATACACAAAACAAAAGCTTAAACATAAGATGCAAGTTTAACATTCATCATTAAAATTGTCTGGGTGTTTAGCATTTATTATCACATTAAGCTGCCAAATAATCCAAAGGCTAACAGTAATTTTTTAGTCTTACTTTCCCCTTCAGTAGTAGAAATGATGGTGGCATACTGGCAGAGTCATTAAGTAGAAATACATTTTAGTAACAACTGATAAAATGAGTTTCTCTGTGGGAAAGCAAAGGGAACTGTCTTTCCCTGTCTTGTGGGATGGCCAGCTTTCTACCATCTTAAAGGTGTTGGAGTCAGGTAACACTCAACTCCTGAAGATGGGTAAAGGGCTCTGTTTCCATGCACTTTGGAAATGAAGCTCCACAGAGTACCACCAGAAGTGCTCGTAATATCATACGATGGCGTCTGTGGGACTCCGGTGGGGCTCTGTTTCTGCACTGCTGTAAACCCATCTCATGAGGTCCATAGTGAGCTTCCATGTGGAAGGACTCCTTGGAAGAATATAATTAAATCTTCACACAGTGCTCAAAGATCGACTTGCAAAAGACTTTTCAAGGAGTATGAATTGGGAAAAACCTATCCCAAGCATGGGCAAACTTGGGCCCTCCAAGTTTGCTGCTTAAGTGGCTGAGAGGGAAAAGAAGAGGCCTGAGACTGTTAGGAATTGTGGGCATTGGAGTCCAAAATACCTGGAGGGCCCAAGTTTGCCCATACCTGACCTATCCTGTATGAGGAATGGTGAACAGAACAATTGTCCTTCATGGCAATGTTGTTTGAAAATGCAGTGCTTTGCTCTTATAGCATGTAAATGGTAACCATTTATATATGTGGGGTGTGAAATCAGAGACACCATATGACTGGCAGGCTATAAATCAGCTAGTTTGAAATGAAGGATCAGTTTCTGTTCTTTCCAAGTACCTTTTCCTTTCATATCTCAGTTCAAAGTTCCACCATGTGTACAACGTGGCACTAAAATGTATTGGAAATGGAGATGTAAATATTTCCTTATTTAATTCTTGCATGCATAAATGAGACAGTTCAATCTTTTTCTCCCTTCTTGAAATGGCAAATGATGTACAAAATATTTTTGGGCAAAAACTTGTGCACAAATTGTAAAATTATTGTGTTTTCCTTCTTGTGCACAATCAAGATGTCAACTTCTTTCTTATTGTGAACAAGAAAAAAATCCTTTATAAGCCTTTGTTGAGGACTAGCATAGTTACATATTTGTATTTTTTCCATGATAGTATGTTTTTCTTCAGCTGCAACTATCTCAGATTATTCTTTCTTCACACATTAATTCATGAATATTTTATGTGTTGATTTTAATTATGTCTTATTCTCTTTTTCTACAGTGAAAAGCCAGAATGTAGAATATCCACAATATGCTCCCCAAGGGATTCCATGTACCAGTCTGTCTTTGTGATAACAGAAGAGCGAAATGAGTGTGTTATAGCCACAGAGGTAAGTATATTCATTGCCCTAGCAGATTTTTTTTTCGTATCAGGAGAGATTTGAGAAACTGCAAGTCGCTTCTGGTGTGAGAGAATTGGCCGTCTGTAAGGACATTGCCCAGGGGATGCCTGGATGTTTTAGATGTTTTATCATCCTTGTGGAAGGCTTCTGTCATGTTCCCAGGGAGCTAGAGCTGACAGAGGAAGCTCATCCACACTCTCCCCGGATTCAAACCTCCAACCTGTCAGTCTTCAGTCCTGCTGGCACAAGGGTTTAACCCATTGCGCCACCAGGGGACCAGGCAGATGTCACCTATGAAGTGATAAATGCATAGATATGTGACATTGTAGATAATGACAGAAATGCATTTTTAGGTTGGGAAACATTTACATATATCTGCTGCGATGGAAAATAATAGGAGGAAATGACACTTTTACTGCTGCTTCAGATCATCCCAGAAAATAAAGCTTAGTAAAACAAAGACAGAAATCAGGAAAATCTCAGGTTTCTTCCAGCAGTATGCATCTTACTTTCTTGAGGAATGTCTACCCATGGAAGAGCCCTTTTGAAATTTTCCCATATATCTGCTGCATTTAAACGGTGGAGAGGGAAGAGGAAGGGGCCTGAGGCTGTTAGGAATTATGGGAGTTGAAGTCCAAAATGCCTGGAGGGCCCAAGTTTGCCACGTTTGGGATAGAACTAGGACTGATAGTTTTAAGCAAAGGAGGATAGACTTTGAATATTTAAAAGAAGTTCTTGACAGTGAGAACACTTTGGCAATATAACAAATTGCCCAGAGAGTTATGGGGGTCTCCTTCCCTGGGAGTCTTCAAAAAGAGGCTGGACAGCTACTTGCTGCTGATTCTTTAGCTAGAGATCCTGCATTGAGCAGAAGGTTTGGACTTGATCATTGATGAGAACATGCTGGCCAAAAGGTTACCATTTTGGATCCAGGGAGTGGGATAAGCTCCAACTGTTAGTCCCAGCTTCTGCCAATCTAGCAGTTCAAAAACATGCAAATGTGACTAGGTCAATAGGTACCGCTTCTGCGGGAAGGTAACAACGCTCCATGCAGTCATGCTGACCACATGACCTTGGAGGTGTCTACGGACAACACTGGCTCTTCGGCTTAGAAATGGAAATGAGCACCATCCCCCAGAGATGGACATGACTAGACTTAGGGAAACCTTTATGTTAATTTTAAGTTGGGCCCCTTGGTGGTGTAGCAGGTTAAACCTCTGAGCTGCTGAACTTACTGATTGAAAGGTTGGTGCTTCGAATCCGGGGAGCAGGGTGAGCTCCCGCGGTTAGGCCCAGCTTCTGCCATGAAGTCATGCCGGCCACATGACCTTGGAGGTGTCTGCGGACAATCCCAGCTCTTCGGCTTAGAAATAGAGATGAGCACCACCACTCCAGAGTCAGACACGACTAGACTTAATGTTAGGGCAAACCTTTACCTTTAATTTTAAATTTGCATTGAACAAATTAATATGCCTCTTTCTCACTCTTCTTTTTTTCTGTTTTATTTGTGGACAGGTATAAAAATGAAGGCTGCTCTTTTTGCACCTCAGTTTTGGCAGTGCTACAAGGTGGACATTCCTGCTACATTGTTTACAATTCAGAATTGGATTGGACCTTTTACTATTTTTAATGATATGCAATTTGCTGCTCTCAGGAGGAGGAGAGACGGACGTGGGTGAACTGGACAGACTGTGAATTTAAAAGATGCAATATACCTTTCGTCTCCTGTTCCTTTATTTTGAAGCCTAATAGGAGGAATGTAACTGCCCTACCAGGACAAGAGAGGAAGAGAGTGTGTCTCTTTCTAGCCTTTGAAAGTACACTGCTGCCAGTTGCTCATGAACACTTGTGTGACTTTCCAGAACTTCAGTTTGGGAGGTGCCCGTCAATGCCGAAGGCATCATCACAGAGCCTACCAGCAATACTGTGAGAAGAATGAATGAAGAAATGTGTTTTTCTATGCAGAAAGTGGATACAGAATAAATGACTTCACCATTTTTTCTGGATTTGAAAGTGCCTAAAGCGTGTCTGAGAATCTAGAGAGCCCAAATCAAGACATACCTGCCTCCCCTGCCCCAACGCACAGTACCCAAACAGTATTGACCAGAAGTGGCAACTGGTCCCTTTTGTTCTTCTCTGTTTTACATCCCCTTTCCCTTCTGCGTATTGCTCAGAGACAATGTCAGGAAAGATGGGTTTTGAGGGAGGATTTTATTGCTTGAGGAGGATGATTATGCTTCGGTGAACTAAGCCGCAAGTTGAAATCCGTTCCTGTTACTGAGCCACAGAAACATTTGTGGACTTGAATGGGAAAGAAGGGGGCTCCTTTCCATCACATGAGGAACTTAATTCCGTGCTCATTGAAAGCCTTACAAGTGCGTTTAAAATCAATCAGCTTTTTGATGCCTTTTGCACTACTAGTCACCATGAAGAGAAGGGTGTTTCTTCTACTTCATATGCATAAGGGAGAGACTTGGATTTTGTATTAGATGTCTTAGTCTGGTGCCACCATAAATCTCAAAGGGTAAACTGATATTTTATACAGGCAGAGAAGTGTCATAAGCCCTGCCTTAATATCTTCTGTTGAAAAACAATTATCACTACCATTCAGTCCCTTACCCCAATGTCCAGCAGAACACTAAGCTATGAAAGGGACTTCTAGAGGGTGGGGAGGGGAATCTACAATCTCTTGTCCGTTCCTTCACAGTGCTACACGGAGGGGATAAACCTTCCATTTTTGAACCCAAAGGAGCAGCTCTGAACTGGAAAACACAGTGCACACAGACTCTTTTATACATTTACAGCAATAATAATAGACATTTCAGATAGGAAGTGCTGTGATGTTTGTAGTGATAAACAAGTTGAGAATGTGGCGGAAGCTGAGAGAGGAAGCAAATTTTCCTTCAAGGAAGCCAGTGTTGTATTTTCTGTGGAGGAAGAGCAATGTTCCTGACCTTGTAAATCCCAGCAATGGGTTAGTCCACCTACAGCCTTGAATTGTGCAGGCAAGATCTTGCTTGGAGTATTCACTACTGACCTTCTGATCTGGCAAACGAGACCTTCATGGAGGCCACCTTCAGAAATCAATAATATGGTTTATACTCGTGTCTGTTTGTAGTTTATTTTGAAGTTTAGTATTTCAGTAATTTAAAAAAAATCAGAAGCACTGAACTTTCTACGTTTTATAACATTATTTTGTATATAATGTATATTTATAATCAAAGACAGAAGTGTAAATATGTTTATTACTTATGTAATGTTTTTATGTGATGAGAAAAGTTTTAATTTTATTTTTTTTTCAAATAATGAAAATACCTTCCTGCTACTAAAAGGTTTACTGTGGTTTCTTGATTTACGGCGTTGATTTCATGATCCTACAGTCTTTCCCAAGTATCTCTGAGTCACAGAGGCTAAGCAGCCTTGACGTAACTATATTTTACCTCTTTAAAGTTCACATTCATATTTTTGGAAAATGAATTCACTCCTTTTGAGCTGCTAAACACTCTTTTTGAATAAGTTTTATCCTATATTTTTTAGAAGGCAATGTTTTAAAAAATAATAGGGATAAAAGTATAAAATGCAAGACAAAGTAATGCACTTTATGTCTCCTTTAATCATTCTGGAAAACAATCCAAAACAACGATAAACTTCATACTTGATTAGCAAATTCTAAAGTTCTCAGACCTTAAGAAACTAGTTTTAAATTATTCATTATTTGTAATTATTTCATTTTTTTTAATTTAAAGCATTTATATTCCACCCTTTTCACCCCGAATGGGACTCAGGGCGGAGCACAACATATATACGGCAAACATTCAATGTCGGAACATAAACCAAACTATAAATATACACAAACATTAAAAATTAAAATAACCAAGGTAGAACTGAATTTATGACTTGACAAGAGATAAATTTACTTTTTTATAGTAATTTTAATTTAAGGTTACTTCTGCATTTTTGAATGTAACCTTTCTAAATGGTGAAGGAGGACAATTGTTTGTGCTATGCCTTATGTGGGTGCTTCATGCTCTGCTATAATTGTTGAGGGAATGACGAAAATAATTTTGCTTATTGGTTTGACACCACTTTATTTGCCATGAAATCCTGTAGTTTTACATGTTCTTTAGCCTTCTCTGCCTCACCAAAACTATAACTCCCATGATTCCATAGTGTTCAGCCATGACAGTTAAAATGGTGTGAAACTGCATTAATTCTACAGGGTAGATGCACTGATGGTAAACAAAGGAGCATTTTGTATCACAAGACAGCTTTGAGCATTCATGCATGTGCAGTTCTGTAACTATATTTGAGAAATATAGTTTAAAATGCAACTAATTGAAAAGGAGCAGATTTGGAGGATTTGGAATTGGAATTGTAACTAATTACTTTTAGAACTTACTGTCCACATTCTAAATCAATGGTTTCCAACCTGTGGTCCGCGGGCCATCAGTGGTCCACAAGAACTAAAATATGGTCCACGGTCTCACCGTTACTACACCGTTGCAATGAGAGCAACTGGTCTCACAAAACCCTCTTATACTGCCGAGGCTTATTAAATATCATTTTCTGTGGGCAAGCAGATGGCAAGTACTGGATGGCTATGTTCTATATTAGAAAGTAGAGCTGATGTGGTCTATCCAATGCAATTTTCTGAATCAGCACTCCAAATAACCAAATCAAACTGAAAGTTGACCGAAAACTGATTCGTAACCCTTTTGGTACTGATGTTGGCGAGTGGTTCCTGGTGAAAAAAAGGTTGGAACCATTGCTATAAGGTATTGTTTCTCAACCTGGGGGTCAGGACCCCTGGGGGGAGGTCATGAGGGGATGTCAGAGGGTCACCAAAGACCATCAAAAAACACAGTATTTTCTGTTATTCATGGGAGTTCTGTGTCAGAAGTTTGGCCCAAATCTATTGTTGGTGGGGTTCAGAATGCTCTTTGATTGTAGGTGAACTATTATTTATTTATTTATTTACAGTATTTCTATACCGCTTTTCTCACCCCTAGGGGGACTCAAAGCGGTTAAACTATACATCCCAGCAAACGCAACTCCCAAATGTCAAGATCTATTTCCGCCAAACTCCACCAGTGTTCACATTTGGACATATGGAGTATTCGTGCCAAGTTTGGTCCAGATCCATCATTGTTTGGTGAACTACAATTCCAAAACTCAAGGTCAATGCCCACCAAAAAGTATTTTCTGTTGGTCATGATAGTTCTGTGTGCCAAATTTGGCTCAATTCCATCATTGGTGGCGTTCAGAATGGAGTTTTGATTGTAGGTGAACTATAAATCCCAGCAACTACAACTCCCAAATGACAAAATCAATCCCCGCTCCCAATCCCACCAGTACTCAACGTTGGGCATATTGGGTATTTGTGCCAAATTTGGTCCAGTGAAGGAAAATACATCCTGCATATCAGATATTTACATTACAATTCACAACAATAGCAAAAATATGGTTTTGAAGTAGCAACGAAAATAATTTTATGGTTGGGGGTCACCACAATATGAACAACTGTATTAAGGGGCCATGGCATTAGGAAGGTTGAGAAACACTGCTCTAAAGGTTCCTTTGCTAATCTTTATTATAATCAGAAGCCTTGATAAATTAATGCATTTGTCTCAGAAACTTTGAGCGCTCTTCCTCAAGCCAATAGTTAGACCTTGGCAGGAGTTGTAAGCAAAAGCACTCTGGGGTTCAATTGCACCATTAATGATTTTGTTCTAGAGTTTTTCATCTGCCTTCTAATCTGTTTGCTGCTCCTCGGTCTGCCTGTGAATCATGAATGAGAAAAAGTATATCACTTATATAAATCTCAGTCTAAAGGCTTCCTGTTTCATACACATTTGCTAAGACGGCTTTCCTTTTAGTAAGGTAAGTGCTTCTTGAACTCTAGCCTAGTCAACACCAAAGTACTTGGATTCATGCCCATAAAGTCAGTGGAACTAAATCTGCTTAAATCCAACTCTTCTGATAGCAAGTGGATTACAATGGATATTTTAAAATAAATTTAAGAATTATATCATCTGAATTTCTATCATAAAGCACTATCATAATATAAAAATAACTGACAAACCTTTGTTTGTTCTATGTTTTTAACAACATGCAATGTTGTTTACCTTTTCCAAAACTGTTTGTGCCTCCCTCTTTAATTCTTTTCTTAGTAAAATGAGTTGAAAATGCTAATCTGTCTCCTTGACTACCATCTGAGGAAAACAATAATCAAGATGGAACACAGAAATAAAAAGATTTCCCTCTCGTTCCCAAACACTTGCCCCATAGAGCAAATTATGAAAAACAAGCCATTGACAAAAAAAGCCGAGCAGATGCTCTTGATTTGCAGCCCTTCCTTGGCAATGGGAAATAAACCCAACAGATGCTTCTCTTAATTGAACACAAGGATTACACAAACAGAAAGTCCTGCTTCAAACAAAAAACAGTCAAACAGAGAAATAGTATGGAAACTCTTCCTACAGCTTAGGCAAAGACCAAAAACCTGCATTTTGAGGCCCAAACACAGTTTTTGGAGTTTCAAGATAAAATAGAAAACTATATCAAGGGACCAGTCTGAGAGCTGTGTCTGCTGCAGCCTGAAAATAAATATACAGGCAGTTCCCAAATTACGAACAAGATAGGTTCTGTAGGTTGAATTTTTTGTAAGTCGGAAGAGGTACATTTTTTAAAGTGTAACTCCAGCCAGAAATATATATAATTCAGTTTTTTATAGCATAGGAAAGGGTGAACACCCGTGTGGTGTTTGTCTTACTCTCTGTGCTACTGTTCAGAAGATTTCGCCTGACTTTTTGACCTGTTTTCCCCAAGATAACTCTTTCAGGAGTGAATTTCCCTTCCTAGGGGTAGATTTCTCTCACTTCCTGTTATTTCTCCCCTGCTTGCAACTATGAATCGTTTGTAAATTGGATGTTTGTAACTCCGGGACTGCCTGTACTGTTCTTCCATCCTCACCTACATTTGCTTTTGTTTTGGCTTTTGCTCTGACAGTGTAAACACAGCAGGGTGTGAGTTAAGGTTTGTTTTCTAAAACATTGGTCTGTTTCTGTTTCTGGCTAACACAGCTACATACACAACACAAAACATATGGTGGGATGATCTGTAGGCTCTGGTACTGTCTGAGAAATGGAGCTTTGCATAGATGCTTCTCATTCTTGGGAATGGGAAACCTGACTGTACTGGGCAGACATTATAAAACCTTTGCTCTTACCACATTCACTCCTAAGCAAAGACCCCCCAGATCATCAGATTCTGTAAAAGGTATCAATACACTTGGCCCATGAGATTATATACTGTGTTTTATATAAGAGCTCACCACACCCTGTCATCTGCATCCCTCCCAGGTGAGCTACATGCCTGAAATTGTAAAGAGATAAGAGCAACAGCAAGGAAAGACGTAATTTCTGCACTGCTTGATGCTCTACAGCAGTGTTTCTCTATCTAGGAGTTGGGACCCCTGGGAGGTTTCAGAGGGGTCGCCAAAGATAATCAGAAAACAAATATTTCTAATGGTCCTAGGAACCCCTTTGGCAAAGAAAGTGACCAAAATGATCAAGAGTCTGGAGAACAAACCCTATGAGGAGCAGCTTAAAGAGCTATGCATATTTAACCTTCAGAAGAGAAGGCTGAGAGGAGACATGGTGGCCATGTATAAATATGTGAGGGGAAGTCATAGGGAGGAGAGAGCAAGCTTGTTTTCTGCTGTCCTGGAGACTAGGACACGGAAGAATGGCTTCAAACTACAGGAAAGGAGATTCCATCTAAACATGAGGAAGAACTTCCTGACTCTGAGAGCTGTTCAGCAGTGGAACTCTCTGCCTGGAGTGTGGTGCCCCTTCCTTGGAGGCTTTTAAGCAGAGGCTGGATGGCCATCTGTAGGGGATGATTTAATGCGATTTTTCTGCTTCTTGGCAGGGGGTTGAACTGGATGGCCCACGAGGTCTCTTCCAACTCAATGATTCTATGATTCTAGGTGGGAAGAAAGTTGTCTGAAAATTGTAATTGAAAAGTTATTTTCCCAAGCTATCTGAAAAACCATATCTGCATAAATGAACTTCCCCAGATTATGGGATCTTAGGAGGAAGACTTTATCTTGGCCTCACTATTGTCCCAGGACTGCGTGGTGGAAATGTGCAGGATAGCCTTCTCACTTCTGGAGAAGGCAAGTTGGCCCCTTTCTGCTTGTCTTCCATCCATATATTTAAACAGGCTTTGAGTGATGAATCAATTGCACAGGAAGGCCTTAGTAAGTGTGTGAGTGCTATGTTTTTATGCTCAATGCTCAATGCATAAAAACAATTTTAAATGCATGTA